AAACCCAAAACTTCCTCTGTGGTCCCCATTTTAGTGAAAATATTAGTATCTGCACAGTTGTTGCAGCTGAACTCCGGGTGTTGTCCCTTCTCTCTCACCCTACTGTCACTCTCCATCTCTTTCTCACTTCACATCTAATCAGTCAGGTCCAGTCATTTCAACCTCAGTCACCACTGAATCCTGTGTCTTTAATGAAATACCCTTTTCATTAGTATGACAGCTAAAAACACAGGCCCAGTGTGTCTCTCCTCTAGTAGGAGCCCTTGTCATTGTCTTTTTCTTCGAGGAGATATATTTCTCTTATGTTAGATGGTGGTTTGGGGATGGAGAGAAATCGCCTTTTTATTTTCCCATCCTTTTCAGTGCGTTTTCAGAGTGTTTTGCATTTAGGAGGTCATGAGTAATTGTGCGGAACTGAAATAAAAGGATTTGAAGCTGTTCAGAAAGTAGCTTAATTTTAAAAGCTTCTACATATCTTCCTTAAGTCTGATCAAGAAAGGTTAAGAAATACGTGTGTTATAGTAATGGAGACTTAGGAATTGAAATAATCATTATTAAGATAGATGAGCCTCACATTAAATGTAATAATGCCACTTGGCATAGTTCAGTTAATCAGTTATTTTTATAGACTATCAGCCTCTAGTACTAATCCCAATTGAATGTTAACAAGTTTAGAAGATCAGAATATACCCAATTTGTTGATCGGTGGAGTTGCTGAAGGACTGAAAAAGAAATTAACTTTTTCACAGCTTATTTTTCCGTGTATTTGTCTTTTGGACCATCATCTCTACTTCATAGAACACAAAATAGTAGTATGATATGATCACATATGTGGTGTGTTCCCATTTGAACAACTAGATTTTATTAATGTTAACAGGTACATTAAGAATCTATAGAAATTCACACATTTTAAATGGGAGCAAAGCATAAAGGTTAGAGGTACTACATAAAGAATCAGTTATAAAGGAGGTAGAGAGGAGAAAGGGAAGAGTGAACAAAAAGGTGGTCGCTCATAGAGCTCTTTATAGTGGCCACCAGATGGCACAGTTGTTCTACATCTGCCGGTTGCACTGACCTGACCAGGGAGGGAAAGTACGGGAACATGACAGTGCCAACCAGCTGTTCCAGAGAATAGGATGTTCTTAAGTTGGTTCTTTGTAGCCTCAGATGTCTGTATCATGTAATAAAAGTAGGCCAGCAGTTTGTAATTAATTGCGTATTTGAATTTCTAGTTCTTTTGAGGCTGGCTTGATGCTATTGTCAAATAAGCCATGGTGATATCACCCTTGTAATTTTTGTGAGAAAGCTTAACTCTTTAGATGAAAGCATCAACAAAATGTTAACATTTAAAAATTGAACAAAGAACATTACTATACTATACAACATTACTTTGATTTTATTTCGTGAATGTTGCTACTGGAATTGTACCCTTAAGAATTCATTGATAACTATTAAATGACTGATAGAAACAACTTACATGTGACCAAAATGAGGGATACCTTTAGTTATGTGAGAGACTGGACAAAAGTAAAAGAGATGAGGCATTATTTTCAATTGCTTAGAAATAAACATTTTTGTTTGTCTTTCTCAGTTGTGGGTATATACTGAGTTTTTAAGAAGGATTCTTTCCACAGTTCACATATGCATTTGGAGGATATAATGGTCCTAGCACCAGAGGAATTGAATTTTATTGAATTGTAATGTATTTATTATATGCCAGTAGTCCTAGTATAGTGATGAAGGCTTGGTGTAGAGAACCTAGATTAAGGGGGAAAACCAAAAATGGTGAATTATGGGATATTTTGGTTCTTTGAAGAAATAATTTAATTTAGGTTATGTGACACCATAGGCTTTTTGTGGATTGGTGCAGAGTATAAATATACACATACATACATACATATATAAATATATAAATTCAGGTTATGAAGCTACAGGGTAGAATGAACAAAGAATAAGGTTGTTTTTTTTTTTTAATTAAGGTATAATTGCCATATTAGTTTCCAGGTGGACAACATAATTTGGTATTTGTATATATTGTGAAATGAAGACCATGAGAAGTCCAGTAAAAATCTATCACTACACAAATTTTTTATTTTTTAGAGAAAGAGCACAAGTGGGGAGAGAGGCAGAGGGAGAGAGAGAATCTTAAGCAGGCTTCACACTCAGTGTGGATCCCGATGCAGGGCTCAATCCCGCAACCCTGGGATCATGACCTGAGCTGAAATCAAGTCAGGCACTTAGCCTACTAAGCCACTCAAGTGTCTCTATCATCACACATATACCTTTTTTTTTTTCTTGTGATGAGAACTTTTAAGATCTACTTTCTTAACAACTTTCAAATATGCAGTACAGTATTTTTAACTATATGCTCTGTGCTGGACATAACATCCCCAGGACGTATTTATTTTGTGATTGGAAATTTGTGTCTTTTAACCACTTTTATCCATTTTACTCAACCCCACCCCATCAGTCTGTTCTGTGTATCTGTGAGCTCTTTCCTAAAGATTATTTTCTGGGACTCCTGGTTGGCTCAGTCGGCAGAGCATGCAACTCTTGATCTCAGGTTTGTGAGTTTAAGCCTCATGTTGTGTGTAGAGATTACTTAAAAATAAAAAATTCTTCTGAATTTTTTATTTTTATTTATTTATTTATTTTTAATTTAATTTTTTAATTTTGTAAATTTTATTTATTTTTTATTTAAAAATTTTTTCTAACGTTTATCTACTTTTGAGAGAGAGTGTGAGCGGGTAAGGGGCAGAGGGAGGGAGACACAGAATCTGAAGTAGGCTCCAGGCTCTCAGCTGTTAGCACGGAGCCCGATGCAGGGCTTGGGCCCCCAAACCGAGATAATCATGACCTGAGCTGAAGTCGGACGCTTAACCTGAGCCACCCAGGCATCCCTATTTTTTAATTTTTTTTTAATGTTTATTTATTTTTGAGAGAGACAGAGCATGAGTCGGGGAGGGGCAGAGCCCGAGGTGGGGCTTGAACGCACAAGATGTGAGATCATGACCTGAGCTGAAGTTGGATGCTTAGCTAGCTAAGCCATCCAGGCACCCTGATTTTTAGAGTCCATATATAAGTGAAGGAATAAATTTTGAGGGCAAGAACAGTTGAGGGAAGCTGTGTGTTAAATACCTAAAACAGAGGAGGAACTCTTTGGGAAGTTATTTTTGGGCAGAGTCCAGGGGCACTGGGATTCCAGTGACCCCAAAGAACTATTTAAGCCTGAAGCTTGGGAAAGATGTGGGAGCCATACAAGAAAAATAGCGTCCTGCTTTTCTAAGTACCAGTGGAGCTGAAAGAGATAGCTTTGATGTGACCTGGGCTGCAACTAGAGGAACTCCAGCAAAAACCCAAAGGGCTGGGTTTCCAGAGAAGAATCCTTTCTTATAGATGTAGGCTTTAGAAAGTGTTTAAATGGGAATTCAACTGGGACTGTCAATTTTAACATGACATAATATGTAACAGAACTTTGGGTTAGTATTTGAGAAGTTGATAACCTTTGTCTTCTTGAGATTAGTGTGACCTTATAAAATCCAAAGGACTCGAGTAGTTTGACTTAATATTAATCAACAATGTTGTTTGCTAGCCTTAGAATGAAAAAGCCTTAGAACAAAAAACATATGCTCAGTCATGGGATCACATCTTTATTTTCAGATTTGATCCTTATTTTCAAGCACTTTGAGGAAATGAGACTGGAAAGACACTCAACATTGAGTTTATTCCTGAGGCATCTCCTACTCACTGCCCAGTAATAGCTGCTAAATCTTATAATCAATTTGGTTATTTTGTTTTCCTGAGAGAGTCTTTATCTTTAGCCCTTTTTATTTGTCATTGAGATCAATCTAAATCTGTTTTGATTTCTCCCTTGCTTTTGCCTTTAACATCCATGTTTGAAAGGTTGCCATTTGCCTCACATTGTCAGTTTCCTTTATGCCGGTTAGCTGAAATTTTACCAAATATGCTCTGTGATTTAGGGATAGTAAAGAAAATAAATGATGAATATCCATTGCATTTTATAGCGTAAATTTAAAACTTTACAGTAGGTGAGTTTAAAAGGAATTCTGATATAAACTACAAAACAAATCAAGCCCATTATCAACAAATAGTCTGTGTAGGTCTAACTTTAATATGTTTTCATATGTATGAGGAACCTTAATATATTGGAAAAGAAATATCAATGAGGTCTTGGATTTTTCTATGTATCACTATACCAGAACATACATGTAATAAAGTGGAAAAAAAGGGGGCAGGAAGTGAAGAAGAAACTCAGTTGTAATAAGGCTAATGACACAAGTCCCAAATAAAATCTTTCCAGTGGCAAAACTGATAGTGTTTTGCCTCATACCTGAGGTGGAGCAGGAGTGAGGGGTCACTGTCACCAAAAACAGGACCTATGTTTTAGAAGCCCAAGGAATCAGAGACAGAACAGATTGGTCTCTTGTGTGTCCCACCAGAGTGAAGAGGCATTGTTTAATTTAGAGACCCTTTTTGGTTTATTCTAGAATCATAAAACTATTTTATTTCTTTAGTATTTAATTGTTATATATAAAATATTTATATTTATAGTATATTTGTTTTATATTTATATAATTTTATATTTATATAATGATTTTATATTTGAAATATTATGATCTATAATAACTTATGGGGGATTATACTTGTTCTGAAGAAGTCTGGTAAAATAAAGGCCTACGGATATCAAATTTGGGAGATTAAATACCTCTATTTGTTAACCTATAAATTTTACTTCTTATTTTTTTTAAGTAGACTCCATGCCCAATGTGAAGCTTGAACTCACAACCCTGTGATCAATAGTTGCATGCTGTACTGACTGAACCAACCAGGCAGCCCTATAAATTTGACTTCTGAAGAAAGTTTGAAGCATTTGTAGAACACATACGTGTCTACAGCTATTTTTTAAATTGTTCAGTTAACTTCCTGATATTTCTTCTAATTTTCACTGACTCTGGTGCATTCTGATTTTTTTGAAACAGTGATCACATGGAAAATGTATATGGCTACTTAATGAAGTACACCAACCTTGTCACTGGGTGGCAGTACAGGTAAGTGATTTTTCTGTGTTATATCCCTCTCCCAAGAGACCAGAAGTGGGGCTGATAATTTTATATTCTGAAATTACTTCAGTACAAACATGGATGGGAAACCTTCTTTAGAGAAGGATTTATAGTTATGTAAAAGTCCAATGAATTCTGCTTTTTAGAGGGTGAGAGGAATTGACATCTGTCCAGATGGCAGGCTCCAAATATCTCAAAAGTTAATATATTTTTTTTTTTATTGAAGAATTATAGACATAGAAATACAATATAGGGTATTTTATTAGTTTCAGGTGTACTAAAACATAGTGAGTTGATATTTATATGTATTACAAAATGGTCACATTAGTAAGCCTGGTTACCATCTGTCACCATACCAAGTTGTTAAAGTATTAGACTGCATTTCTTATGATGTACATTACATCCTTTTGTCTTACTTTATAACTGGAAGATTGTACCTCTTAATCCTGTTTACCTATATTATTTACCCCACCTCATCTAACAACCATCAGTTCATTTCTATATCAGTGAATCTGTTTCTGTTTTGTGTGTTGGTTTTGTTTTTTAGATTCCAGATATAAGTGAAATCATACGGTATTTTTGTCTTTCTGTCTGACTTATATCACTTAGTGTAATGTCCTCTAAGCTCATCCATGTTGTCAACAGTGGCAATGTTTCATTCTTTTTTATGGCTGAGTAATATATCATTGTGTATGTGTGTTTGTGTATATCTATACCTGTACCATATTTGTTTCACCCATTCATCTTATCAATACACATTTAGGTTCCTTCCATATCTTGGCTATTATAAATAATGCTGTAATGCACATAGGGTACATGTGTTTTTCCAAATTAGTGTTTTCATTTTTTTCAGATAAATTCCTAGAAGTGGAATTGTTGTATCATATGGTATCTATTTTTATTTTTATTTATTTTTATTTTTTTCCTATTTTACCCATCCCTCCACCCATGCCCTCCCCCCACCCAGTAATCATTAGTTTGTTCTCTATAGTTAAGAGTCTTTTTCTTGGTTTGTCTCTTTTTTCCTCTTTGTTCCTTTGTTTTGTTTCTTAAATTCCACATGAGTGAAATCATAATATGGTATTTGTCCTTATCTGACTCACTTTTTTCACTTACCATAATACTCTCTAGCTTCACCCATATTGTTGCTAATGGAAAGATTTCATTCTTTTTGTATGGCCAAATAATACACAAATAGTACACACACACACACACACGTATGTATGTATGTATATGTATGTATATCACATCTTCTTTATCCATTCATTAGTTGATGGATACTTGGGCTGCTTCTATATCTTGGCTACAGTAAATAATGCTGCTATAAACATGGGGCATGTATCCCTTGGAATTAGTGTTTTTTTATTCTTTGGGTAAATACCCAGTAGTGCAATTGCTGGATCATAGGGCAGTTCTATTTTTAATTTTTTGAGGAACCTCCATACTATTTTCCACAGTGGTTGCACCAGTTTGCATTCCCACCAACAGTGCATGAGTGAGGGTTCCTTTTTCTCCATATCTTTGCCAGCACTTGTTATTTCTTGTGTTTTTGATTGTAGGCATTCTAACAGGTAGAGATGATATCTCATTGTAGTTTTGATTTGCATTTCCCTGAGTGATACTGAGCATCTTTTCATATGCCTGTTGACCATCTGTATGTCTTTTTTTGGAGAAATTTCTATTCAAGTCCTCTGCCCATATTTTAACTGGATTGTTTGTTTTTTTGATATTGAATTTTATGAGTTCTTTATATATTTGGATGTTACCCTTATTGGATATATCATTTGCAAATATCTTCTCCCGTTCAATAGGTTGCCTTTTCATTTTGTTGATGGGTTTCTTTACTATGCAAAAGATTTTAGTTTAGGGGTGCCTGGGTGGCTCGGTTGGGTGTCTGACTTTGGCTCGGTCACGATCTCACTGCTTGTGAGTTCGAGCCCCACGTCAGGCTCTGTGCTAACAGCTCAGAGCCTGGAGCCTGCCTTAGATCTGTCTCCACCTCTCTGTGTCCCTCTCCCAGTTGCACTCTGTCTCTCTTTCTCTCTCTCTCTCAAAAATAAATAAATGTTAAAAATAAAAAAAAAAAAAATGGGAATGCAAGCTGGTGCAGCCACTCTGGAAAACAGTATGGAGGTTCCTCAAAAAACTAAAAATAGAACTACCCTATGACCCAGCAATTGCACTACTAGGTATTTATCCAAAGGATATAGGCATGCTGTTTTGAAGGGACACATGCACCCCAATGTTTATAGCAGCATTATCAACAATAGCCAAAGTATGGAAAGAGCCCAAATGTTCATCGATGGATGAATGGATAAAGAAGATGTGGTATATATATACAATGGAGTATTACTTGGCAATCAAAAAGAATGAAATCTTGCCATTTGCAACGACGTGGATGGAACTGGAAGGTGTTATGATAAGTGAAATCAGTCAGTCAGAGAAAGACAAATATCATATGACTTCACTCATATGAGGACTTTAAGAGACAAAACAGATGAACATAAGGGAAGGGAAACAAAAATAATATAAAAACAGGGAGGGGGACAAAGCATAAGAGACTCATAAATATGGAGAACAAACAGGATTACTGGAGGGGGTGTGGGAGGAGGGATGGGCTAAATGGGTAAGGGGCATTAAGGAATCTACTTCTGAAATCATTGTTGCACTATATGCTAACTAATTTGGATGTACATTTAAAAAACTTAACAAGTAAATAAATAAAAATAAAAGATTTTTAGTTTGATGTAGTCCCAGTTGTTTATTTTTGCTTTTGTTGTCCTTGTCTGAAGAGACAGATCCAAAATAATATTCCTAAGACCAGTGTCAAAGAGCCTACTGCCTATGTTTTTTTCTGGAAGTGTTATGGTTGCAGTTCTTATAGTTAAGTCTTTAATCCATTTTGAGTTGTTTTTTTTGTTTGTTTGTTTATTTATTTATTTTGTGAGAGAGAGAGGGAGAGAGAGAAACCCAAGCAGGCTTCGTGCTGTCAGCAGGAGCCTGATGTGGGGCTTGAACCCACAAACAGCGAGATCACGACCTGAGCTGAAATCAAGAGTGGGTGGCTCAACCAACTGAGCCACCCAGGTGCCCTGAATTTATATTTTATATGGTATAAGAAAGTGATCTAGTTTCATTTGTTTGCGTGTAGTTGTCCAGTTTCACCAACACCTCATTGAAGAGACAAAAGTTACTATTATATTAGGGTTATAATTACTTGTTCCCCTGCCTTGGGCTTTTTAAAATACCTGTGGTGATTAGGCTTTTAGGATGGTTTGGAGGCAGCAAACAAATTTGTGTTTAGTTGCCTGTTTTGTGCAGGATCCTCAAACTTCTCTGGGACCTTAGAGAGTTTAAATAGCCAGCCCAAGGTCATACAGGTAGTCTGTGAGAAGGAAAACCAGCTATCTTACATACTTTGTAGAATTGGTAGTTGCAAAGCAGGGGATTAAACTTTTATTATTTTTTTTTTATTGTGGGAAAATATACACAAAATAAAATTTATCATTTTAACCTTGTATAAATGTTCAGTTCAGTGGCACTAAATGCATTCATTGTTGTGCATTCATAACCATTATCTATCTGTAGAACTTTTTGCATCTTCTGAAACTGAAACTGTACCCACTAAACAATAATTCCCCATTTCTCTCTCCCCCATGCCCTTGGCAACCACCATTCTAATTTCTTTCTCTGTGCTTTGACTACATACCTACCTCATAAAAGTGAAATCATACAGAGGAACAAATATTGTGCCTGGCTTATTTCACTGAGTATAATGTCTTCAAGGTTTATCAGTGTTGTAACATGTATTAGAATTTCCTTCCTTGGGGCGCCTGGGTGGCACAGTCGGTTAAGCGTCCGACTTCAGCCAGGTCACGATCTCGCGGTCCGTGAGTTCGAGCCCCGCGTCGGGCTCTGGGCTGATGGCTCAGAGCCTGGAGCCTGTTTCCGATTCTGTGTCTCCCTCTCTCTCTGCCCCTCGCCCGTTCATGCTCTGTCTCTCTCTGTCCCAAAAATAAATAAACGTTGAAAAAAAAAAAAAAAGAATTTCCTTCCTTTTTAAGGCTGAATAATATTCTACTGAATATATGTACCATACTTTATTTATCTATTAATCTGCCAATGGACATGTGGGTTGCTTGTACCTTTTAGCTATTGTGAGTAATGCTGTTATGAGTATTGCTGTGCAAATATTTGTTCAAGTCTCATCTTTCATGTCTATTGTATATATACCCAGAAGTGGAATTACTGGATCATATGGTAATTTTATATTTAAATTTTGGGGGAATTTCCGTGCCATTTTCCATAGCTGCTGCACCGTTTTACATTCCTACTGGTTGTGCACAAATGTTCTCATTTCTCCACATCCTCACCAACACTTGTTATTTTCTTTTTCTTTTTTCTTAATAATGGCCGTCATAATAGGTGTGAAGTGGTATCTCACTGTGGTTTTTAACTTTTTAAAAATTGTAATACTGGAATTTGAACCCAAATACTTCTGACTCCAAAGTCTATGTTTTTACATTATTATCATGTTGCTTCTAATTCACATGTCATTTTGAGGCTTCTACTTTTGGCTGTGATAGAATAACAGGACCTGATTTTTTTTTTTAATTTTTTAATGTTTATTTATTTTTGAGAGAGAGAGATGGAGCACGAGTGCAAGGGGCAGAGAGAGAGGGAGACACAGACCTGAAACAGGCTCTAGGCTCTGAACTGTCAGCACAGAGCCCAATGTGGGATTTGAACTCACAAACTGCAAGATCATGGCTTGAGTCAAAGTCCGACGCTCAACCAATTGAACCACCCAGGTGCCCCTAACAGGAGCTGAACTTACTTTCCTATCTTAAACAACTTGAAAATGGTATATAATTTATGAAAGAATGATTTTCAGACATTTTAAAGAATGGAAACACTGAGTGAAAATGTGATTATTTAACAGAGATGGCAGTTTGGGCTATGTTTATTTGGAAGTGACATTAGGCAATCCAAATAAGAGTGACATGTAGGAAGTTGGAGATCATAAAACAGGCCAAAGCTGAGTATGAAAACTTAGAAGGGAATCATCCCTACTGAGTGAGAAGGGCACTTCTCCAAGGTTTCCATCTTTTATTAAGAAAACAAAAGCAAAGTCAAGGTAATTTTTTCATGTTATATTTTTCATTTCAGGTTTTTAAAAATTGTTTGAAGGCTTATACATTCAAATGACATGGATTATTAATTTTTAAAATTGTTATGTCACTTTGCTTTTAGCACTGTTCTTTGTTCTCTTTCTTAAAAGCAAGATAGGTTAACTTTCTCCCCCAACATCCAACAACTGTCATTCTTGTTTTTTTTTTTAATTTTTTTTAATGTTTATTTATTTTTGAGAGAGAGAAAGAGAGAGAGGGAGACAGTGCAAGCAGGGGAGGGGCAGAGAGAGAGGGAGACATAGAATCTGAAGCAGGCTCCAGGCTCTGAGCTGAAATTGGACACTTAACTAACTGAGCCACCCATGCACCCCATCAACAACTCATTCTTGTAATATTGAATAATACTGAGAAACTCTCAGAAGTGGAACAGAGTAAGAAAGCTCCAAAACATACACAAATATATCAAAGTTGGTATATTTTCAAGATGGCATTTCAGGTCAGTGGCAACTTGAGACCATGGGAAGAAGTCACAGGTGTTTATCATTGCATAAAGGCCCACCAAAAAGATCCATTGGCCACTGGTTGCACATGGCTGCCTTTCCTTACAAAAATTTCTCTAAAGTTTATTTTTGTTGTTATAAGATAGACTTCAAAGTCAGAATGTTTTTAGATTAAAGTTGTATTTTGATGATACTTCATTTTACGTTGTTGGTTATTTCAAAGATAAGTCATTTCCCCAAAATGACAATTTTTACTGCAAAAAAGTAAACAATTATTTGCCAATTTTAACAGTATTTTCTTTTAACAACTTAGCTGAATTTTTCTGCCTGTCAGGGTTCATGCTAAATCTTGTTTCCCTGTTACATTTAATCTTTGTTTCTACATTTTCTTTATTGGTTTAGTTTATTGGTTAGGCCAACTTGCTCAGAATGCCTCCATCAAGAGTCAGTTACCTTCTGGGAAATATAGGTTTGTTAAATTTTCTCACTATGTAGATTGCCTCTCTATCTCCAAACTAAACATCTTGTAAAATTTCTCCCCATAGAAGGGATAAAGGGGGAACATTTAGATTAAACTATGTATGATGAAAGATAGCCCAAATTGCTCTATTATGCCAGTGGGCCAATAGCATTATCTTGGTATGAAAAAGATCAGGGGTAGTGGGTAGGTCAGTCATCATTTAAGCATCCAACTTTTGATTTGGGCTCAGGTCATGATCTCATGGTTGTGAGATCAAGTCCCTCACTGGGTGTGGAGGCTGCTTAAGATTCTCTTTTTCCCTCTCTCTCTCTCTGTCCTTCTCACACTTGCATTTTCTCTCTTAATCTCTCAAAAAAAAATAAAAAATGATCAGTTATTGGCTTACTTAACTATCTTTTTTTAAGTTTATCTACTTATTTTGAGAGAGAACAAGCAGGGAAGGGGTAGAGAGAGAAGGAGAGAGAGAATCCCAAGTACGCTCCATGCCGTCAGTGTAGAGTCTGATGTGGGGCTTGATTTCATGAACCATGACATTGTGACCTCAAAGTCAAGAGTTGTGCATTTAACCGACTGAGCCACCCAGGTGTCCCTCATTTTTTTTATTGAGTTATAATTGACATGTAACATTATATTTGTTTCAGGTGTGCAACAATGATTTGATATATCTGTATATATTGTGAAATGATCACCACAATAAGTCTAGCTAACCTCGTCACCATGCATTGTTACAAAACTTTTTTGTGTGTGATGAGAACTTTTAAGATCTACTCTCAGCAACTTTCAAGTATGCAATACAGTATTATTGACTATAATCACCATAGTTATTGGCTATTTCTATCATTTCACCAGTCCCTCCTCACCATTATTTTCTGTGTATCTAGGTGGGTGCCTCCCATATTGTAAATTTGTGGTAGTGCTTTTGAGATAAATTGTTCGCAGCAAACTTGAGATTTCCAAACATTCTACTCTGAATTTGCTTTGACTGCTTTTGAGAGAAGAGACCAGTATTTTCCTTGGTTATTTGAAATGAATTGTACTTACTGTTTAGAACAGTGAAAAGAGATTTCTTTTTCCTTCCTTCCTTCCTTTCATTTTTGTTTGTTCTTTTTGTTTAACAGCTTTATTGAAATATAATGCAAATTCCATACAATTTGAAGAGATTGCTTACATACTACCCCACTCCTGTTTATTCGATGAAATTTTTTGAGGTAGATTCATTTCTTAGTGCATTAGTGTTGCTATAACAAAATACTACAGAATGACTTATATACAGGGTGAGTTATAAACATTTCTCATAGTTCTGGAGGTTGGAAGTTCAAGATCAGAGTGCCAGCATTGTTGGGTGAGGACCCTTTTCCTATCATAGACTTCTTGTATTCTCAGATGGCTGAAAAAGAGTCAAGGAAGAGCTCTTGGGTCTTACAAGGGCACTAATCTCATTCATGAGGCTTCTTAAGGGTCTGTTTCTTAATACTGTTACCTTAGGGGTTAAGATTTCAACATAAAAGTTTGAGGGGACACATTCAGAAAATAGCAGATTCATATGTGCATTTTATGTTTTATGCTTATGTTTTAGAAATTGAAGATAATGTCAGTGACTATCTTGTGTTAATTCAAATAATTTCTTCAAATATTTTGGAAAATAAAGATAACCCTATTAAAAATGGGCAAAGTGTGATGAGCAGTTCACTAAATAGAACTGGATGGTCCATAAACACATGAAAAAGTGTTTAATTCTTCTAGTAATTAAAGAAATGGAAACATAAAAGCTCTCAAAAATAGTAATTTTTAAAATCAAAATACGTGAACATTATTTTAGTTTAGTTTTTAGGTTTGTTTATTTTAGAGAGAGAGAGAGTGCGAGTGAGCGAGCACACAGGCAGGGGAGGGGCAGAGAAAGAGAGGGAGACATAGAATCTGAAGCAGACTTCAGGCTCTAAACTGTCAGTGCAGAGCCCAACGCAGGGTTCAAACTCACTAACCATGAGATCATGACCTGAACCTAAGTCGGACACTTAACCAACTGAGTCACCCAGGCGCCCCATGAACATAATTCTAAAAATTAGAAGCATGCTAAAAGATGAACAAGAGAAACAATAGCTCTTTGCTTTTCCATCTCCCATCTCAGGCAACCACTTTCAACTTTTGCTTGCTTCTGAGCAGTTTTTCTTTCCTTGAATAGAAGGCTGATTCATTTTCTCCCAGTTTGATATGGTTGATATGGTTGCCTGTTGCTTAAGACAGTATCTTCTAGGACCTTGAACTGGATCAAATTGTCTAGTGTTAATGGAATACAGTAACCGGTAGAATGCCAAACTGCTCTGAACACAAACATTAATTTTTTTAATTAAGACTTTTTAGATTAAAAAAAAAAAGAACTATTGTATTACTTAAATTGGAATCTGAATTAATATATTTCCTAAAGTAGTTAATCTGGAACCAAATCAGAACATCAAATTCTTTTCCAAAGTGTATCAGTATTTCATCATTTAGTTTCAAGTTCCTTATGCTTCTGCATCTCCAGTTGCAGCTTTTACATTTTTAAACAGGATAAGTAGTCTTAAGTTGTGACCTATTTCATGATACACTCACAAAATCTTTCTACCCTGACATTATTCTCATTGTGTATTTCACTGATTAAATCTTAAATCAGATTCATTTTCTTACCCATCCTTTAGTTATCCTCAGAGTTCATATTTTGATTTGTTTGCAGTGAATTCTTTTTTTAAATGTTTCTTTATTTTTGAGAGAAAGAGACAGAGGGAGAGGGAGACAGAGGATTCGAAGCAGGCTCCGCGTTGACAGCAGAGAGCCAAATTTGGGGCTTGAACTCACAAACTATGAGATCATGATCTGAGCCAAAGTCAGATGCTTAACCAGCTGAGCCACCCAAGTGCCTCTCCAGTGAATTTTAAATAAAAATTCTCACTACCATTTGTCTTTGGGCAGTGTACCTTCCCCATTAATGAATTCTGGAGTGAAATCTTCCTCTGAAAGGGTACTCTAACTTTTGTTTCCTTTTGCATAATCTGGTATGCCTCTTCCCTATTAAATGCCTCTCCCTCTGTTGAAGGTTTTATACCTTCATTCATTCATTCATTCATTTTATTATTAAAAATTTTTTAATGTTTATTTTAGAGAGAGAGAGAGAGTGCGAGGGGGAGGGCAGAAAGAGAGGGAGACATGGAATCTGAAACAAGCTCCAGGCTCCTAACTGTCAGCACAGAGCCCAATGTGGGGCTTGAACCCATGAATCCTGAGATCATGACCAGAGCCAAAGTTGGATGTTTAACCCTATTGAGCCATCCAGGTGCCCCAATTTTATATCATTTATTAAACTCATTCAATTTTTCAGTAAGCTTATTGCTAGGAATTTCAACCAAGTGTTTCCAAGTGCTTCTTGAACTGCTTTTGAATTTTATTTTTTTAATAGCAAAAACTCCAAAGCGTAGTGATTGAAACTTATTTTGCTTTAGTTTGACAAGGAGAATTTTTAAAAATTATGACTTTTTTTTTTCATTACAGGTTTTTTGTTTTAAACAATGAAGCTGGGTTATTGGAGTACTTTGTGAATGAACAGTCTAGAAATCAAAAACCCAGAGGTACTTTGCAGCTTGCAGGAGCTGTAATATCACCTAGTGATGAGGACTCTCACACTTTCACTGTAAATGCTGCCAGCGGGGAACAGTATAAACTCAGAGGTATGATCGAGATATGAGAGTTAATAGTGTGATTTTCTTCTTCCCTTGAGAAGTTGATGTACTTCCCTGCTTTCATTTGGGTTTTTGAAACAGAAACCACTCTCATCAATGATGTAGGTATAATATCCAAAATCTTAGAATTGCTACAAGAATTTGTGAAATCTCTTTTAATAAATAACTTTTTTCAAATGGCACAATGAACAAGTGTGTTTACGATTGGCTCCTGTAAAATATTTGTGTGCGTAAAACCCTGATTACTGAACAATCTAAAAACATAGGCTTCTCTAAATGATATAGTTTTTTAAGTTTATTTATTTATTTTGACAGAGAGAGAGAGCATAAGCACAACAGGGGCAGAGAGAGAGAGGGAGAGAGAGGATTCCAAGCAGGCTCTGCACTGTCACTGCAGAGCCCAATATGGGGCTCGAACTCACTCACAAACCATGAGATCATGACCTGAGCTGAAGTCAGATGCATAACTGACTGAGCCACCCAGGCACCCCTCTAAATGATATTTTTTTATGTCTTCCATGGATTATATTTAACCCCTTTCTTGACTTAGTTTGCATGCCCTCTTTGAGGTTTTTAGTAACTAATAACAAAAGTTGGGATTTATTAAAATGTTCATATTTATTTTAAAAATATAACTTTTGTTTAGATAAATTTAATTTGTGTTTTTTATTTAATTAATACACATAAAATACAATGGTAATCCTAACTGAGCATCTTGCAAAAGATACAAAAATATCTAGTATATATCAGATGCTTAATAAAAGTTATCTTTTTTAAATGAGAGCATATTTTTATGAGAAACTTAAGACATGTCAAATCTCATCCATGTCTAGTTGCATGTAATTCATTCTCCTTCTGAAATATCCACATCACATCCAGCTACTGTGTTACCTACCAAAGTTGATGCTTGGGCCTTTTTCTTCCCTCATTGCTATGTTTGCTCTAGGGAGAGTAAGGCCAATCCCTGATTTTAAGTGATCTGTTCTTCATGCTGTAGACAATTAATTATTCCAAAAATAAATACAAAAGTGAATAACTTTTAGATTCTTTTTATCAGCCACAGATGCTAAAGAGCGACAACATTGGGTTAGCAGACTTCAGATATGTACACAACATCACACTGAAGCTATTGGAAAGGTATGTGGATTTCATATACGATATTAATGCATAAAAATGGGGAAAAGAATATTCTATTGTATTTTTTTATGTCTTTAAATTGTGGGACTATTCACATACCATAAAATTTACCCTTTGAATTTTTTTTAATGTTTATTTATGTTGAGAGAGAGAGAGACAGCATGCACATGTGAGTGGGGGAGGAGCAGAGAGAGAAGGAGACACAGAATCTGAAGCAGGCTCTGTGCTGACAGCATAGAGCCCGATGTGGGGCTCGAACTCACAAACCATGAGATCATGACCTGAGCCAAAGTCAGATGCTTAACCGACTGAGCCACCCAGGCACCCCTACAGTTTGCCCTTTAATGTGTGCAATTCCATTGGTCTTAATATATTCACAAGATTGTGCAACCATCGCAACTATCTAGTTCCCATCACCCTCCAAAAACTCATATCCATGAGCAGTCACTCCCTATTCTCCCCTTTCCAAGCCCCTGGCAAACACTATTTTCTGTTTCTATGGATTTGTCCATTCTGGGCCTTTTATACAAACAGAATCATACAATATGTGGTTTTTTGTGTCTGGCTTCTTATATTTTGCTTAATTTTTTTTAGAGTTAGAAAGCAAATTTTATTGGGCACTCAGGTGGCTCAGGTGGTTAAGCAGCCACCTCTTGGTTTCAGCTCAGGTCATGATCTCATGGTTCATAAGTTTGAGTCCCATGTTGAGCTCCAGGCTGACAGTGGGGTGTCTGCTTGGGATTCTCTCTCTCCCTCTGCCCCTCCCCCAGTTGCTTTCTCTGTCTTTCAAAAATAAATACATTTTAAAAGTTTTTAAAAATTTTCAAAAAAGAAAGCAAATTTTATTGTATGTTCAGTTTTACTTTTTTTTTTTAATGTTTATTTACTTAGAGAGAAAAAGAGCACAAGTGGGGTAGAGGCAGAAAGAGAGGGAGAGAGACTCCCAAGCAGGCTCCATGCTTAGCACAGAGCTCAATGTGGGGCTTGATCTCTCACAACCATAAGATCATGACCTGAGCCAAAATCAAGAGTTGGATGCTCAACCAACTGAGCCACCCAGGCATCCCCAGTTCTATTTGTTCTTTGGTCTTTTATGTACATGTAATGTTTTCAAGGTTCATTCATGTTATTGCATGTATCATATTTTATTCATTTTTATGGGCAAATAATATTCCAATTATGAATACACCACAGGATGTTTATCCATTCATCAGCTGGTGGGCATTTGGGTTGTTTCCATTTTGTGGTCATTATGAATAACACTTGTATATAGGTTTTTGTGAGAATTCATGATTTCAGTGAGATGTATATTTAGCAGTGGAATTACTGGGTCATGTGGTGGTACTCTGTTTAACTTTTTGAGGAGCCACCAAACTTTTTCAGAGTGACTGAACCATTTCACATTCTCACCAGCAATGTATGAAGGTTTCAGTTTTTCCACATCCTCACCAATACTTGTTATTGCCCCCCACCTTCTTTTTTTTTATTGTAATAGGCATCTTGGTATATGTGAAGTAGAATCTCACTATGGTTTTGATTTCATTTCCGTAATGACTAGTAATGTTGAACATCCTTCCATGTGTTTATTGATCATTTGTATATCTTTGGAATATTTTTTATTTTTTAAGACGGACAGGATGGTCTCAGTACTTGAAATCCGAGGTTAGAGATCTCTAAAAAGTAACATCTAGGCAGCATCGTTAAAGGATTCCATACCTGGGTAATAGCTTGACTTAAAAAAGATTTTTTTCCCCAGGTTTTTTTTTTTCCCATAAATAAATTTTAAAAAGTTGTTTGTGATTTAGGCCTACTGCCCAGTCTTCAGGAAATTCATCACAAGAGCTTTACTCATACTACAAGATTGCAATCATTGGCAGTGATCAGAAAGTACTAGCTTATTCCAAAGACACTTGCATGCTATATTAGAAAATGTATTATATTGAATATTGCTGAGTACATTTTGCTTCAATCAGTGTGTTTACAAATCTGAAATTAGAAGTTTATTCTATATTTGTAAAATATGAAAAAATATTCTTGACAGTACAAACCTGGAATTAATTTTCTAAGTAAATTATAAGTTTACTTTTGGATGTGTCACATGTTTAAACTTTGGGTGTCTTAAATTTTATCGTTTTCAGAAATGTTCTTATAGTCAATTCTGGTTAATTTAACTTTTAAAACTATTCATGTGTAAGCCTAAAGTGTGTGTGTGTGTGTATATATATATATATATATATACACACACACATACATATACATATATACATATATATACATATATATGTGTGTGTATATATTATATATATATATATATATATATATATATATATAAAATAGGTGAGGGTTAGCCTAAAGTTTTTGAAAATGAATGGTTTTGTTTTGTCTAATAGAATAATCCTCCTCTGAAATCACGGAGCTTCTCACTTGCATCTAGTGGTAATTCTCCTATATCCCAGAGGAGACCAAGTCAAAATGCCATTTCTTTTTTTAATGTTGGACATTCCAAACTACAATCAGTGAACAAAAGAGCTCACTTACCTCCAGACCATCTTGTGGAAGTCAGAGAAGTAAGTATGAATTGAAGTCCAAGTAAAAATGCACAAAATAATCTAACTTGCTTGGTTTTATCACGAAAGAAATTGAATCCTGTTTGTGTTTTCTGGGGCACTCAAATGTTTTCTGTCTACTATGCTGAGACAATTTTTAAGTCATGAAGATTCCCTGGTTATATAGGTGATGCCCTGCGTTTCTTTACCATTTCCTGGGTACACTCTTATTTTGCAGTCTATCTTTCATTTCTCAAGTAGAAGTATAGACTCCTTTGATGTAACATGATCAAAATGTTTTTTTTTTTTTTAAACTTTTTTTAACGTTTATTTATTTTTGAGACAGAGAGAGACAGAGCATGAACAGGGGAGGAGCAGAGAGAGAGGGAGACACAGAATCTGAAACAGGCTCCAGGCTCTGAGCTGTCAGCACAGAGCCCGATGCGGGGCTCGAACTCACGGACCGTGAGATCATGACCTGAGCTGAAGTCGGACGCCCAACCGACCAAGCCACCCAGGCGCCCCTCAAAATGGATTTTAAGTCTATTGTGAAGACTATATGGCCAAACAAGTGACTTAAAAAAAAAAAAAGATATATGTAGACAATTCCAAACATACACGATAATAGAATAGTTAAATCCTTGATGTTGCCTTGCCTCACTATTTCCCCCTTTCAAATTGAGTACCAAATAATTTTAGTTAGTAAAAGATATAGTTGTTAGGTTCTAAATATTCCTGACTTAAATTTAGTAGAGCTTTTAGATATCTGTGTAGTGAGTGACCTCATACAAGTATGTGATTTGGAAAGTAGAGGAATATTTTAATAGCCTTTTAAAATAATTATGGCTATTCTTTGGTACTGCATGAAAACTTGACAGTAGTAGTTTCTTAAATGTTCGATGCAGTGTGGAATCAAATATATATCCTTGAACTTTTCATATTCTGTTACATCAAAATCTATCGGATTGTCTTGCACTTTGAATGTATCTTTAATCTCTGTCTGATTTTGTACATCATGCATTAGTCATTTGGAAAATACTGTCTTACAGAGTTATGCAGGTCTTGCAAATGTTAATCTGTATTATCATACAGTATCAAAAATTCCTATTCATTAGCATCCTCACTGATCTCATTAGAAAAGGCTTTCAATATTGGGAAGTTGCCAAGCTTCTGGTAACAGATAAAGGTTTTCCAAAATTCTTTTCATTTTAAATCTCAGATTTTAAAATTGGCAGTAAATACTGTTGGCTTTTCTTGAAGTAATAGGTTTATTTTATTTAATTTTTAGGAAATGTCTACCACATATCTCCAAGTGTGAATATCTATAGTTTCTAATAGTCATTCTGTAAAGAAAAAACATTCCCGTGTTTGTCCCATGCTATACAATAACACTCTACACTTATGTACTCTGGCCACCGAATGTATGGAGTTCCCTGCCCCCCCGCTGCCCACCAAGCAATTTTCTAATCTTTGTGGACACCAGCTGTGTGTTCTAGAATTTAATTTAATTTCAACACTATAAATAACTCAGGAACAGACAGATATAAGAGATGTGTAGAGCCAGATATGGGGGAAATGTCATGGAAGCTCCACCCTCCTAGTACCTCCAAGTGTTCACTAACCAGAAGCTCTCTGAGCTTCCTCCATTTGGGTTTTTTATGGAGGCTTCATTAGGTAGGCATGATCAACTGAATCATTGGCTGTTAGTGATTAATTCATCCTCCAGCCCCTCCCCTCCCTCAAGGTTGGGTGGTGGGGCTGAACATATATATACATATCTATATATCGGTTGGTTACATATATAAGAGTGTAATTGTTCGATCATAAGTTATAATTATTTAACTCTCTCTATATTTTTTTAAGTTTACTTATTCTGAGAGAGAGAAGGCAAGAGAGAATCCCAAGCATTCTCCACGCTGTCAGTACAGAGCCCATGTGGGGCTCGATCTCACAAACCATGACATTATGACCTGAGCCGAAATCAAGAGTCAGACACTTAACCAGCTGAGCTGCCCAGGTACCCCTAACTCTGTATATTTAACTCTAGTAAATATTGCCAAACATTGGCCATAGTGGTTGCACTTATTCATAAGTTTGGATTACTGGAAGTTAGTCCTAAAATTTATATACAAAACATACACAAAGCACACATATATATGCATGTATAAATGTGTACATTTGGATATCTTCATATCCACAGTTTTCACTTAAAACCCTTTTTTTTTCTGATAAGAATGAATGTTTGAGCCATTACTGTGACATATGCTTTCAGGGGCTATTTCATGTATGGCACACTGGATTTCTTTGGTAGGATATTTGCATCTCTCTTTAACTAGCCCTCTGATGAACTGTATTAAAAGTCATCTGGGGGGTGCTTGGGTGGCTCAGTTGGTTAAGCATCTGACTCTTGATCTCAGCTCAAGTCATGATCTCATGGTTTGTGAGTTCAAGCCCCACATCGGGCTTTACACTGATGGCGCAGAGCTTGCTTGGGATTCTGTCTCTCTTCCTCTCTCTGCCCCTCCCCTACTCATTCCCTTCCTTCCTCTCCTCCCCCCCACCAAAATGAATAAATAAAAAAAAAATCATCTGAAACAGAGCCTCTGAAAGCTGAGTCTCTCCACATTTCAATGTGAATTAAGATAGTGTCCAAAAGATAGGCAATCTGAGAGACTTCTGCTCACAATTAAGTAATTAAGCATAGTACATTCAATAAAGTAATTAAGCATAATAAATTCAGTTTTCATTTAAAAATATTGGGTTGTTTATCAAGAATTGTTATTCTATTAGCTCTGTTAGGAAAAGTGTACAGAGCTCTTGATCAAAGCAGAGTGTATTAAACTCTTTTAACCTGAAAAGTATATGTATATACATACAGCACTTGCTCCACAGTCAGGCTAATGGGACCAGAAAGTTAGATTAAGAGAAAAGGAAGCAGGGAAACCATCATGTTTTCAAAGTATGTTCAGATTGAGCCTAACTAGGGGTGCTGAGAAGAAAGAGCTTAAGAGCCCAGACTGGGAACTAATTTTACTTTGTAATGATGTATTTAATGATGCTATTGAAGATGATCCAGAATATTTTTTTGATAGCTTGTACAAATGTATACTGTTAATAAAAGGTTTGTCAAGGCTTTTGAGCTTTGTTGCTTCCAAAGAAAAAGTGTGGCTGCCAAAGGTCCTCATCTTTTGCACAGTTGCACTATTAAGTGCTCACTAATTGAGAATAGCCAAATTTGAAATAGATTTCTAAGCCTAATATATGCCAAAAATGGCTCAGAAACTGAATATGGTAATTAAAATGGAAACTGTATGTATATGTGATACACAGAAATCATGAGTGGGACACACAGAACTGTTGTTTCCCTTAGATGATGTCTCATGCTGAAGGACAACAAAGAGACTTAATTAGGCGAATTGAATGCCTTCCTGCTTCTGGCCATCTTAGTTCCTTGGACCAGGATCTCTTAATGCTCAAAGCTACTTCCATGGCGACTATGAACTGCTTAAACGATTGCTTTCATATTCTGCAGTTACAGCACGCATCACATCAGAAGGGCTCACTGTCTTCAGGTAAGTTGTAGATTAAAAGTAGGGCTTCACATTAAGGGCTTACACATGGAAAGATTGCATTTGTTCTAATTCCTAACAAGGCTTAACTAAAAAAAGAAAGAAAGGAAAGCAGGGAGCCTCTTGGTTTTTATTTTTATTTATTTATTTAAGTTTATTTATTTATTTTGAGAGCAAGTGGGGAAGAGCAGCAAGAGAGGGAGAGAGAGAATCCCAAGCAGACTCCGCGCTGTGACCTCATGAAATGTGAGATCATGACCTGAGCTGAGACTGAGTCAGACGTGTAACCAGGCGTGTAACTGAGCCACCCAGGTGCCCAAGGAGCCTCTTGGTTTTTACTTATCACCTTAATATTAAAGAAAGTCTTTTTATTGTGTCCTTTTTCATATCTAAATTGATTTTAGGCCTAATGTTTAATATAGTTGAATATCCCTTTGGAGACCTCAACTCCACATGTTGAAAATTGAACTCAAAACCCACATCTCCTATATTTCTGTTAATATTGGTGGCATCATTATTCATCCAGTTGACTTTAGTAGAAATATTGGGACCATTTCTTAACTTTTTGTTTAGTCCACAGTTCATTATATCCATATTGAGATATAGATATTAAAGTCTATCAGTTACTTTTTAGTTTGAAAAGAAGGTGTACATCTAGCATTTGAGAGCACTTATTTGTTGGAATTAATCTACTGGGGAAAATAATTTTACTGTGTGGGAGGACAAAAAATGAGGTTTTCTATTAAATGAGATGAATAAAATCACATTTTTCTTTATTGAGATATAATTGGCATATAACATTGCGTAGGTTTAAAGTACACAGCATGTTGATTTTATACATATTGCAACATGATTACCACTGAAGCCTACACCTCAATCATATCACATAATTAATACTTTTTTGTCATGAGAACATTTAGGATCTTGTCACTTAGCAACTTTGAAGTATGTAATACTGTATTTTGACTATAATCACTATGGTGTGTATTATATCTCCAGAATTTATTCATCTTCTAGTTGCAAGTTTGTACCCTTTTAACAACATCTCCCCAACTCCTCCATCTGCATCACACTGTTTTAATAAATAGTAGTAACTTAGTGGTTCACAATTTATTGTTCTCTTACCCAATTAACCCCTTTGTGAAAGAAAGATATTTTAGAAAGATAATGAGTCTCTGCCCAGAAAAAAGTTTACCATAGTCAGATCTTGATGTGGGTATAATACAGCTTCCATTCTCAAATGTATGCCCACCTAAATCAATATTTCAAGCTAACAAACTATGTTTAATGTTAATTGTAGGTATAGGTCAGGGCAGTATTATACAGGCCAGTAAGCTATGTTTGTTTCCCTTAAGGAACTCATAGTTCACTTGGGGATGAACATGTAAATACTTAACTGTAATATGGAATGTGTTGCTTATAATAGAAACAAGATGCTTGGGGAGAATATATAAATGGACCAATACTTCTGACAGAAAAAGGTCTGGGAAATGCCTAGAAAAGCTAAAAAAACAATTAGCTTAGGGGGGGTGGGGAGAGACTGGAGGATGTTCCAAAGAGATAAGATACCTAAGTTGTGAGTTGTGAACATGCACTGGGGCCTTGGAAGAATTGTAAGAAGTCCAATAAAAATTTTCTCCTATAGTAGAGCAACAGACACTCATTGTAAAAAATTTTAGGAACTATTATACAATTGAAAAAAGAAACAAATCCTGCATTATCCTACCAACCAGAAACTGCCACTGTTAATATTAGTGCATACCCCACCAAGTTTTCTTTCCTTCTTAGTTTTTGTTTTACACCATTTTTATTAGAAAAAATATATTTTTATCTTATACTTTTCACTTAATATCAAGTATATTTTACAATTTATGTTATGCTTTTGGTAAATATAATTTTTATTGGCTGCATTATGTTCCTTTGAAGGGATAGATCTTTGGTTTACTTAACTGTTCTGTGTTGAACATGGGATGAGTTACCTTGAGCTATGAAATTTGGTTTAATTCTAGTGTTGGTAATAATAATTTGTTAGGGAAATGAAAGTTTATTTCCAGTTGATGGTATGTAATTTTTGCAAAGCACATCAAGTAGCACACTGCTAGATACTAGATGCTTAATCCTTGATTAATTAAATACTATATAATTTTTTTAATTCTTAGAAATTTCATTTGTGTAGTTTAATACATAATTATATTTCTAAATGATTGCTTCATGATTAGTGAAACATGTACAATATAAATTTGCATTTTTTTTAAGTTTATTTATTTTGAGAGACAGAGAGAGTGAGTGGGGAAGGGGCAGAGAGAGAGGGTGAGAGAATTCCAGGCAGGCTGTATGCTGACACAGCACAGAGCCAGCTGCAGGGCTTGAACCCATGAACCGTAAGAACATGACCTGAGCTGAAATCGAGAGTTGGGATGCTCAACTGACTGAGCCTCCCAGGTGCCCCTAAATTTGCATTTTTAATTAACAAATGAAACAGACTAAACTTTACAGAAATATTTAAAAGTTGTTCTCATTACTATGTTTTGGAGCATGGATTTGTGGATGTGTGGTGGAATTGATTAACTAGTATTGGTACTTCTTACCGTAAATGGTCATGTTTTTCAAATTAGGTCTGTAGAAATTTATTCTTTAGTCACTTGAGAATAAAAATATAACCGTGGAAAGAAAAACTGAATTATCTTTTCACTCAAATTTTGAGATAACACAAGAAATCAAATCTAAGCTTAAATTAGTGTTTAGTCCCATAAGGATCATTGATTTGGGGGGGGTCCTGAGACCGGATGATTGGTTTGATAAAGAGTATTGTGGTTTCCAATCAGTTGAGCAATCTGTTATTTTTTTTAATCTTTAATATATGTATTTTTTTATTAAAAATTTTTTTTTATGTTTATTTGTTTTTGAGACAGAGACAGAGCATGAGTGGGGTAGGGGAAGGGAGAGAGGGAGACACAGAATCTTTAGCAGGCTTCAGGCTCTAAGCTCAGCACAGATCCTGATGCCAGGCTCAAACCCATGAACCATGAGATCATGACCTGAGCTGAAGTCAGACACTTAACTGACTCAGCCACCCAGGCGCCCTTTTAATATATATTGTTTTAAATTTTTTTTTATTTTGAGAGAGAGGGACAGAGAGAGAGAGAGCATGGGGGAGGGGCAGAGAGAGGGGGCGAGAGAGAATCCCAAGCAGGCTGTGCACTCTCAGCACGGAGCCCAATGTATCAGGGCTCAAACTCATGAACCATGGGATCATGACCTGAGCCAATGTCAGACACTTAACCGACTCAGCCACCCAGGCACCTCTGGTTGAGCAGTCTCTTAAAACAGATCCATTATATTTAGTGTTTGTGTATACTTATCTTTATAAGTAATGACATCTAGATATTGATATTTACAATAAACATTTCAGGGGTGCCTGGGTGGCTCAGTCAGTTAAGCGTCAAACTCTTGATTTCAGCTCAGGTCATGATCTCTCGGTTCGTGGGTTCAAGCCCCGCATCAGGCTCTGCACTGAGTGGAGCCTGCTTAGGATTCTCTCCCTCTCTCTGCTCCTCCCCTGCTTGCACTCCTTCTCTGTCTGTCCCTGTCTCTTAAAATAAATAAATAAACATTTTTTAAAAAGAATGAACATTTTAACATAGGAGCAAAATGTTTTGATTTCTTTGGGATTTTTAAACTGGCCCCTAGAACTTACCCAGGGCATTCCCCCAATCATGAATACCCACCCCCAGTGCCAAATGAGACAACTGAGTGGCAAGGCTCTAGTAGCTTAGTAGGTATTTCATAATTTATCCCTGTACTAAAGTCTGGCATTTCAAGTAAATTCCCTCACATTTGTAATTTCTGCTGTGGTAGGTAGTCTGAGCATCCCTTACTGTAGGACTCTAATAATCAAGCTTCTGTGAAACCTAGATCAGCCTCTGAAATCAAATGGAACATTTTCCATTATTGATTAGGCATAGAATCCACTTTGTTATACTAGTTGAGGGTAATAAGAGACATTTGAGTCATTAATTGAGAAGATGACAGGTCTCTAAATGTGACCACTGTCTTTCACTAGGTCACCTATTATTTATTCAGTAGAAGAGCCTTTCAGTTTAAAAGTATATGGACCTTTTTTATATGATTGAAAAAAAGAGGAATGGACATATATTTGCAGTTATATTAGCTCAAGGTGGTTATCTTGAATGGTTAGAAAATTGCTACTGAGGATAAGATTCAGTCCCAAAATGAAGAAAATTTTACTGTTGCATGCTTCCAGGCTCCTCCTGTAATTGTGACTCCTTAAATCCTAATGCAGTTAGGTATTTTTACAGAAAGGGTAACAAATCAACTATGAAAGGTGGGAATACATTATGGTTTCCGGATTTGCCCAAGAAGTTGTTCAGTCCTATTCAGGGTTGATTCTTTTAAAAGGTATATGATTTCAAGTTGCAAGCTGCTCTGTGGTAAAATACCCAATCATGGTGCTCATGCTAATGAGATACAAGTGGCCGTTTTGCGGAGTGTCTTAACAGCTTGAATTGCTTTTAGTCTTGTGGGCTCAAAACAAAATCGTTTAATAAAATCCACATCTGCTGAACTTTCCAGATTATGAGCAAGTTTCAGCGAAAGTTTTCTCTTACTTCATCAGGAACGACAATCGAGTGGTTAGAACCAAAGATACCTTTATCAAACCACTATAAAAATGGAGCTGACCAGCCTTTTGCAACTGAGCAAAGTAAACCAGTGGCAGTCCCAGAAGAACAGTGTGTTGAAGAATCTGGACCATTAGCAAGGGTAAGGTAATGTGAAAATACGGTTTTGATGTAAAAACTAAGAATCACTGAAAAGGTTCAGGTCTCTTTTCTTTGTCAGGGCGTACAAGTCACCCTAACACCAGAGCAGCATTCTTGCAGACTCTAGATATTGTTCTTCTACTGTAAACTGCATTGGCTTTAAAGAGGTCTGTTGTATAATACTTGTACATGTTGTGTTTTGCAGGTTAAATTATGTGCCTTTTTTAGTTGGGGCTCACTTTTGCTTGATTAAAAATGTATTTTAAAATTGCGATTTGCATGTTTTTATTTTTCTAGGTAATAACTTTTATTATTTGTACAATATTTCTCTGTTACATTTCTTACCTCGTTATCTTAATTTAACATTATTTACTGGATGCTTACTATTAAGTTTACAAGTATAAAAGTTTACTATTAAGTCTTTTTGTTGTAAGCACGTTGCCAGACCAGTTTTTTTCAAGTGTTACTCAAAATAGCACAGTCCCAGGGTTTTATAATATTTTGATAAAGTATTTTTCATTCCACATTTCTCAGAAGCTAAAGAATATCTTATTCTAGTCATAATTCCACCACTGTAAAAATCATATTGGTCTTTTTGCCTTTTGTGTTCACATCTGGTATTTTTATGGTCATGATAATTACATAGTTTTATTTTAAGCTCTTTTTACTTGATACTTCCCATAAGCATTTTTTTCTGGCCTATATAATTAAATTTTTAAAGGTTGAAGTAGGCTATTAAATATCTAGTCTCTGTTATTTTTTGT